ACGTTATGTAACAGTATTAACCTTTCACATTCTTCAACTTCTTTTCATCTGTCACGTTGAAATAAGGTGAATTTTGACTGGTTTTGGATTGATTTTAGGCTTTAGATTGAAGTTTCTATCGTTCTGTGTTAAAGGAATTTAACTGAAAGTGACTATTTTTTTTTTACTTCCGGCAATTACTCAAGTCCAAGAATTGATTTTTAATTTCACACATGGAATGGTTTGATTGGGTTTAGGTTTTTTAATATTTTACTTGACTTTCCTCCTTATTTATTTATTTATTTATTTTTTTGGTTCACTTTACTTTATTTTCAACTAGCCGTTAACTCTAACAGCAATGAAAGGCAATTTGTCTCTTTTTAGGATATTTTGAAACTTATGTCTCTTTTTAAAAAATTCAAAAATATTGTCCTCATATGATAATATCCAAAAAAAAATAATGAATTATTCATAATTTCAATTCAAATGAGTAGAGAAATCACTTACTCTTCAAATGAAATTGGGCTAGTATTTTAACATTGCACCCAGAACCAAACGCTGCCGTTTAGTCAAGGAATTGTCCCTGCATAAATTGTAAATCCTTCACACGCCTCTTCGCGTGGGCGCGTCGCGTCGTCTGGTAATATCAACAATCAACATTATCCATTACGAACAAAATCTCTAACCTATATAAAACTCTTCCCACACGGCGCACATTAGCAGTGACCACCGCCTTAAGCTAAGCTCAACTCTCATGGCCTCCCCAAACCCTCTGGATCTCGAGATCACAATAATCTCTGCTAAACACCTCAAGAACGTCAATTGGCGAAACGGCGATCTCAAACCCTACGTCGTTTTCTACATCGACTCGGACTACCGACTCGCCACCCACTCGGATGACTCGGGCTCAACTCGCCCCGTCTGGAACCAGCGCTTCACTCTCCCCTTAACTCGACCCGTCCGCGAGTCCATCCTCTCCCTCGAGATCTTCCACTCCAAAGTCTCCGAAGCCCCCAAACCACTCGTCGGCTCGCTGAAGTTCCCTCTCGCTCACCTGCTCGATTCGAACGAGTCGGCTGAGTCCTTTGTACGCAACCTCGAGCTTCTCCGCCCATCTGGTCGTTCTCAGGGGAAAATCCGTGTGAAACTCGCTATCAAAGAACGGCCTCTACCGCCTCCGAGTCAGGAGTATCAAAATACCCCTGATTATAGCCCTTATTACTATTCTGCCCCTCCTCCGTTCCCGTCTCCTGCTCGGGATTACAGTTACTACTCGGGATATTACTCTCCGCAGCCACCGCCACCGCCACCTCCGCGGCCAATGTTCGGCATAGCGTCGAGTTTCAGTTTCCCTAGCGGTAGTGTCCCGTCGGCTCCTGTTGATTATTCGACATCGAACGATCAGAGGCAGCCGCCGTTACCTCCTCGGTCGATGTACGGGGTGCCAATTGGCAGTGGGCCCTCGGCTCCCGTGGATTACGCGCCTTACAATCAGAAGCTACCAAAGCAGTTTGGAGGTTTGAGTTTAGAAGAAGAGGTTAACAAAAAGGAGAAGGAGAAAAGGGCTGAGAGTGAAATGGCGCCAAGGGAAGGTTATAGTTACAGTGATTACCGCCATGATTATTGAAGTATGTTTAGTCGTTAAGGGTTAAAATATATTCTGAAAAGTAAGATTAATAAATTTAAGGTTGAGTGTTTAAGGTTGGTTTTGTGGCTTTGATGAATGATGAATATACTTGTATATATGATTGACTTTCTTTTATGAGTTATTTCATTTCCTCTTAATCATTAACTGGGTTACTTGTAATGTCAAGTTTTGGTGTTTTGTTTGGTGGGATTTGGTCTTCTATGGATGGTTTCTTAGTGTGACTTGTGCTTATTTGTTGCACTTTGAGGAGATAGCTATTCATATCTTAGATTTGGTGCTTTAGTTTGAGATAGCTTTTAATATGTTATATTTGGTGCTTTAGTTTGGTTAGTAAGTGTTTAAGTTTTAGGTTTGCCTCCATAAGTTCTAGCCTTCGATTTCTAAAGGCTAAATACCTGAAAAATAAAAATAAAAAAATAAAGCCAAAAGTTTCGTGCATTTCAAAGTTTGCCAGATTTTACCGGCCCTCGATTTAAAAATTGAATTTGCTAAGTGGGTTTGAGGGTTTTATGGGTTGACCGAAGATAAATTAATAAATAAATTAATACGAACTTAACACCATGCATGAGTGGTAGGATTTGTTATTGTAACATGACATTTGAAATTGTTTGCGGTGGAGACTAGGGTAGTGAACATATATGGTGTTGACTGTTGACTAGTTGAAAAACTCCTTTCTGATGTTGTGAAAGAATAGAACTCACTTCATCTTGTTGCTCGTAGTACAATCAGCATTCTCCCTTGCCATATATTGGATATGTTGCTTACACTTTGGTGCGAGTAGATTGGGGTTGCTCTGAGGAAGAATATGGACTTGGAAACGTTGTCGTTTTAGTTGCTAAAAAAATGGAATTTATTTTATTTAATAATATTTTATTTGTAAATAAATAAAAAATATTGTATTGTCTATGAGACTATCCTTTTTGGGGGTTGTCAGGTCAGTTTACATAAATGTTAATGGCTATTACTTGGTAGGACCAATGTTCTGAAAACCGAACTGGACCGCCCGGTTGGACCGGCAACCGACGACAAATCCGGTTCAGTATATATAAAAAACCGTCATTTTGATTTAAACCGGATTGGACCGTGGTTGGACTGTCGGAATAATGCCGAATCGTGGTCCAATCGCAGCTAAACCCCGCCGGATTCTGGCATCTTTCGACGGAGAAAACACCCCCATTCGACGGACGGCATCTCCACGACTAAAACCATCCATTTTCAGTCGCCGTCGTCCAGCCTACGTCGATCGCCGTCCACCTAAAGTTCACATGTGACGCAATGTCGGATTTCTTTCGTTGATTCCGACGACAATGGAACTCCCTAGCACCACCATCAGAGTCGTCGGCACCTACACATCAAAAGCCCCAAGATTCCAGCTTCGATTGGCCATCGATCGTCACTGTCGCCACCACTCACCAGAATCTTCTCGCGACAGGGGTGTTTTAGATAGATTTCAAACCTTAAGGGAGTATTATAAGAGTGTTTTGATGAATTTCAAACCTTTAGGGACTAAATTTTTTTTACAAATTACGGTCCAACCGATCGATCTAACCGATCAAACCGGAAACCGGACCCTTGAATGGGTTATTGTCTGATCCGATTCTTAGAAAATTGGGTAGGACTCGAATATAAAAGTTTTGAATAATTAATCCAAATAACTAGTCTTGCCATTCGACTACAAGAGTAATGGATTATGAGACTATCATTTCGTACTTGCTAAACTCCCAAACCAACAATAAATATGACTAAAGCTATTACTTTGGCACCCAAAAAACAACAAAAATAAACCAAATCAAATCAAATAGTTTGATTCAATAATTAAAATACTATAATATCAAACCAAATCGTACGCATTAAAAATATTTGATTCGATGTAAATGTGGAAAAAATAGAACGAAATTGGACCAAACACACTATTTTGTACAACACAAAGATGGAAATTGATGAATAGTGTAAAGTCGAAGTAGTAATTCTTTCTAACTAAATAAACAAGTTTGGAATGAAAAATTAAAAAGAAAATTGTAATGATTAAAAAAAAAAAAATGGGAATTTTAAATGTGGTTAAATAATATTATTGAATTGGAATCGATAATCATAAATCATAATCATAATAGTGTGTTTGCTTTATTATTTTGAATAGTAGTTTTGAAATATTATTGTTAAATTGAGTTGAGTTATTATTACGAGGTCAGATTTAAAAATTAATAAAAAAATTCATAGGTTTGTTAATTTAGTTAAATACCCATAATAATAAAAAGTTTATAAATTGACAAAAACACCCTCATCTACCCACAGTTGCTAGATTCAGACCATCACTGCCGGAATCTGGTTGGAATTTGATGTCATTGCGCACGACCGGTCAGATCTGACCGGTCGTGCGTTGCTATGATCTTTTTTAGTTAGATCCATCACAGATCTGGCTAGATACACTGTCGGATTTGGCCATCAATGACGGCCATATATTAGCCGTCGTTGACGGCCAGATGTGGTTGTCAACGGCTAGATTTTTTGCCGTGGATTTGGCCTTTTCGACTAAATCCATGGTAGATCTAGTCGAAAAATGCTATAGCAGCCCACGACCGGCCAGATCTGGTCGGTTGTGCGCAATGACACTAGATTTCGGTGGTGATGGCCAGAATCTAGCAACTGTAGGTAGGTGGGGGTATTTTTGTTAATTTATAAAAAAAATTGTTGAGAGTGTTTAGTTAAATTAATAAACTTATGGGGGTTTAAAATAATTAAATATTATTAGATAGGATTTTAATAATAGGAAAACAAATATGCAATTTTTGTAAGGATATGAATAGGAAATTTTCAAAATAAGAAAACAAAGTAGCTGACTAAAAAGACCGTTTTTGACTGGTTTTGGATTGATTTTAGGCTTTAGATTGAAGTTTCTATCGTTCTGTGTTAAAAGGAATTTAACTGAAAGTGACTATTTTTTTAACTTCCGGCAATTACTCAAGTCCAAGAATTGATTTTTAATTTCACACATGGAATGGTTTGATTGGGTTTAGGTTTTTTAATATTTTACTTTACTTTCCTCCTTATTTATTTATTTATTTATTTTTTTGGTTCACTTTACTTTATTTTCAACTAGCCGTTAACTCTAACAGCAATGAAAGGCAATTTGTCTCTTTTTAGGATATTTTGAAACTTATGTCTCTTTTTAAAAAATTCAAAAATATTGTCCTCATATGATAATATCCAAAAAAAAATAATGAATTATTCATAATTTCAATTCAAATGAGTAGAGAAATCACTTACTCTTCAAATGAAATTGGGCTAGTATTTTAACATTGCACCCAGAACCAAACGCTGCCGTTTAGTCAAGGAATTGTCCCTGCATAAATTGTAAATCCTTCACACGCCTCTTCGCGTGGGCGCGTCGCGTCGTCTGGTAATATCAACAATCAACATTATCCATTACGAACAAAATCTCTAACCTATATAAAACTCTTCCCACACGGCGCACATTAGCAGTGACCACCGCCTTAAGCTAAGCTCAACTCTCATGGCCTCCCCAAACCCTCTGGATCTCGAGATCACAATAATCTCTGCTAAACACCTCAAGAACGTCAATTGGCGAAACGGCGATCTCAAACCCTACGTCGTTTTCTACATCGACTCGGACTACCGACTCGCCACCCACTCGGATGACTCGGGCTCAACTCGCCCCGTCTGGAACCAGCGCTTCACTCTCCCCTTAACTCGACCCGTCCGCGAGTCCATCCTCTCCCTCGAGATCTTCCACTCCAAAGTCTCCGAAGCCCCCAAACCACTCGTCGGCTCGCTGAAGTTCCCTCTCGCTCACCTGCTCGATTCGAACGAGTCGGCTGAGTCCTTTGTACGCAACCTCGAGCTTCTCCGCCCATCTGGTCGTTCTCAGGGGAAAATCCGTGTGAAACTCGCTATCAAAGAACGGCCTCTACCGCCTCCGAGTCAGGAGTATCAAAATACCCCTGATTATAGCCCTTATTACTATTCTGCCCCTCCTCCGTTCCCGTCTCCTGCTCGGGATTACAGTTACTACTCGGGATATTACTCTCCGCAGCCACCGCCACCGCCACCTCCGCGGCCAATGTTCGGCATAGCGTCGAGTTTCAGTTTCCCTAGCGGTAGTGTCCCGTCGGCTCCTGTTGATTATTCGACATCGAACGATCAGAGGCAGCCGCCGTTACCTCCTCGGTCGATGTACGGGGTGCCAATTGGCAGTGGGCCCTCGGCTCCCGTGGATTACGCGCCTTACAATCAGAAGCTACCAAAGCAGTTTGGAGGTTTGAGTTTAGAAGAAGAGGTTAACAAAAAGGAGAAGGAGAAAAGGGCTGAGAGTGAAATGGCGCCAAGGGAAGGTTATAGTTACAGTGATTACCGCCATGATTATTGAAGTATGTTTAGTCGTTAAGGGTTAAAATATATTCTGAAAAGTAAGATTAATAAATTTAAGGTTGAGTGTTTAAGGTTGGTTTTGTGGCTTTGATGAATGATGAATATACTTGTATATATGATTGACTTTCTTTTATGAGTTATTTCATTTCCTCTTAATCATTAACTGGGTTACTTGTAATGTCAAGTTTTGGTGTTTTGTTTGGTGGGATTTGGTCTTCTATGGATGGTTTCTTAGTGTGACTTGTGCTTATTTGTTGCACTTTGAGGAGATAGCTATTCATATGTTAGATTTGGTGCTTTAGTTTGAGATAGCTTTTAATATGTTATATTTGGTGCTTTAGTTTGGTTAGTAAGTGTTTAAGTTTTAGGTTTGCCTCCATAAGTTCTAGCCTTCGATTTCTAAAGGCTAAATACCTGAAAAATAAAAATAAAAAAATAAAGCCAAAAGTTTCGTGCATTTCAAAGTTTGCCAGATTTTACCGGCCCTCGATTTAAAAATTGAATTTGCTAAGTGGGTTTGAGGGTTTTATGGGTTGACCGAAGATAAATTAATAAATAAATTAATACGAACTTAACACCATGCATGAGTAGTAGGATTTGTTATTGTAACATGACATTTGAAATTGTTTGAGGTCGAGACTAGGGTAGTGAACATATATGGTGTTGACTAGTTGAAAAACTCCTTTCTGATGTTGTGAAAGAATAGAACTCACTTCATCTTGTTGCTCGTAGTACAATCAGCATTCTCCCTTGCCATATATTGGATATGTTGCTTACACTTTGGTGCGAGTAAAAGGGATTAGGATGCTTGTTGCTGTTCCTTAATAATTGTAATGGCAGTTTGCTTGTTATGATAGGCTTTGTTTAAGTTATATTTTGATGATCTTAAACAGAGACTTGCCATCTTCTGTGTGTTGCAGACATATGATTTGTTTAATTTTTGGGTGATTGTAAATAATGAGTTGTTAAGGTTGTTCATTAAGAGCTACTTGAAGTATCAGTTTTTTGTGACCTCCATCCAGTCAGCCACTGGTGGAGAGGTTTGTATTATGTAGCTTTTGCTACTGGGTTGACATGAGCGAAATGGTATTGCATTTGGGTGTGATATTGATTAGTTTTTATCTATCAAATTGAAAGATCACATGTGTTTAGGTAAAAAATGCTTGGTTGGAAAAAGAGAGAGGCTGTAGAGATGAATCGACCCTCCTTTCTCTTCAAAAGGCCTGTCAATTTTCATCGTTTTGTTTCTTAAAATTGTCATCATTTTGTGGTACGCATTGCTTTGCAGTCTCAATTCTGTGCTTTTTTCATAGATGACATTTATGAGAATTTGCATACAACAAAAGTGAGGTTGGTCAGTCGGTGCTGCAGAACTGCTCTGGTTCAACTACTGCAAAGACATTGTTTAAGCTTTCTCAGCTTCATCAACTATGGAGTTTCTTTTACATAGGATCAGTTCTTGTCTAATTGTGCTAAATTCTTTGATAAACTGAGGATGAAACTTAGATATTAGGATTCTCAAAAAATTGATCTCATGTGAATTCATTTCATCTATAATAAACTGACATCCTTATCACTGATGCATTTAGTCAATATATAAGACAGACTGGTAAAATGCCTGATGATTTATCTCATCACTGTCTTCGGATACCAGGATAAAAGCCAATCTCAGCGGATTGGCGAAAAATGAATCACTAGAGTGGTGATCAATTTTCTTGTTCTCCTATATGTTAATTATGATATGAATTACTGGGTTTAACAATCAATTGCTGTTGATTCTGTCCAGTTACAGTATTCTACTTGTGGGAGTTATGCTGCCATTAGTAAAGAGTAAGAATTGTTTAAATTGCATTGTTGCCATTTTACAGTCCCTCAGAGAATTTTTTCTTCCGCAAAGCCCAACCTTTTAAAACAAGGTGTGCCTAATTCCCAGTAGAGACTTCGAAGTTCCAATAAAAGGATTACTTTTTGGCCAAAATGTTGAAACTTAAAGAAGTCCTTACTTCATTGGTGTCATAAACTCTATTGGGTTTTCATTTCATTTATTAAGATCATTTTTTGATTAACAAATAAGAATACACCAATGGGTATATCTTTAATATGTAGTATGCAAATATTCTATACAAAATGTAATAAAGCAATAATACGTTGGTAATGGATCAAACAACGTTTCTGATACCCATCCATGGTTTCACAAGGCCGAATCAAGGAGATTGTATATGGTTTCAATCTATAGTTTTAGATTGGATTCTCCATTGGGCACTAGGAGATTGTGTATGGTTTCAATCTATAGTTTTAGGTTGAAAAAAAAAAATGACGGGTCCATTTGTTTTATTATTTTTGATAGGATTTTGAAAATATTGGGTAGTTGAATATTAGAGTATTACGAGGTAAAATTTAAAAATTTATAAAAAAACCCCTAGGTTTGCTAATTTAACTAAACATCCCAATATATAAAAATTTTATAAAATGATAAAAACACCCTCACCTACCCATAGTGCCAGATTCTGGCCACCACTACTGGAATCGGGTCGAAAAATGGCGTTACGACGTAGACCGGTTAGATCTGGCCGGTAAGGCTTTGATATGACCTTTTTCGTCCAGATCCACCACGAATATGACTGGAAAATGTCAGATCTATGGCCAGATTTGGCCGTAAACGACCGAAAAAGTCCAGATCTAACCGTCGACGGTCGGAAAAGTCCAGATTTGACGGCCAAAGATATGGCCGTCGTTGTCGGTCAATGATGGCCATTTCTATCGGTGAATTAGCCGTCAGTTCTGATCGTTTGTAGGCTATTGTGACAGATTTCGGATACCACCGATGGTGGTTGCTGGAATCTGACAAGTATGAGTAGATGATAGCGTTTTTGTTAATTTTTAAACTTTTTTTGTTGGGGTAATTAATTAAATTAATAAACTTAAGAGGTCTAAAAGTAATTAAAAAATATACTAATATTTTTTAATTAATAAAACAAACAATATTTAGAAAATAGAATTAGAGATATGGATGGAAATAATGTGACAAATGCGGTCGACGTTTCCTAGAATTGGTGGTGAAATCAAGATACCAAAAAAAAAAAAAAAAAAATGGTGAAATCAAGATGAAGTGGCAACTACAAATTTGCGATAGAGAAATAACTACGAACTTTCGCCATATTAGAAAGCTGCCTTCCACACGTTTCTCCTGTGTTTCACCTCCCCCGCGACGAAAATAAATAATAATAATAAAATCCTAGAGCCCACGTTATGTGATTCTTTCTTTGGTCCAATCTCTCTTCAACAATTGAAACAGAAATGAACTCTGAAAACATGGGAAGCGAGAACCCAAAAATCTATCACGAGAAGCAAAAGTTGCAGTTCTGCCTTCTACACTCCCTCAATAATCTCTTTCAGGTAATAAATATACCATACCCATCTCTCTTGTTCTGCTGCTTTTCAAGTACTTGATAAATGAATGTCTAATTGAAAGTTTTCATAGTTTAATTATATTGAATGTCGAGAAAAAGGGAATTAATTTGGGGATTTGTTAATTGTTGAATTGATTAATCAACCCAATTGTATTATATGTTATCTTTTCAGTTATTATTGTATTTCATGTTAGTTTGATATGAACTGGTAATGGGTTTTTAATTAATAAAGTAATTACATGGTATTTCAGCAAGAAAATGCATTTACGCGAGCAAGTTTGAATGAAATTGCTGAGAAACTCGTTCTTGATGACCCTGACAAGCAAACATGGACGCCATTATCAGTTTTTTTTAAGCCTCACCATAATGCATTAACCGGAAATTATGATATAAATGTTCTTATTGCGGCCCTGGAAGGGAGAGGGAAGAGTGTAGTATGGCATGATCGTCGAAATGAGGCATCATCCATTGATCTTGATGACTCTGGAAATAATTTGATGGGTATTGTGATTAATATTCCTGTTACACGTTATGGTGGGCTTTGGAAGAGTAGGCATTGGGTTACACTGAGAAAGATTGATGGGGTTTGGTATAACTTAGATAGTGATTTTAAAGCTCCTTATTGTTTTAAAGATAGTGAAGAAGTTAGGGAATTCTTGGGTTACATTATTGGTGTTGGTGGAGAAGTTTTGCTTGTCAAAAATGATGAAGAATGAGATTTGTTTTCTTCTCATTGTCAGCTGTGAAAGAGATTCTGTTGTTTGTGTACATACTAGCTGTTAACAATCATCGAAGTCGGTAAGCGTGCAGTCCAAGTTGATTAGAAGGACATCGTTGAATGGAGATTTGAAAGAATCTGTTTGTACTCCCCTTGGACCATGATGGTCTGTATAAAGCTTCCTCTAGCTGATGTAGTTTATGCTAAGATGTAGTGTGAAATGGAGAATGTTAACCTGTTCGTTGTCTTACAGTTTTGACAGTTTTAGTTGTGCAAGTTTCAATGAATTGATGATTTTCTTCATTGTTCCTAATGTAATAGCCATAAGTAGGAATGAAATGAACCTCATACTGAGGTGTTATACTTGGAGGAATGAGTTAAAAAACCATCTGTTTTCTGCAGCCTCTTGCATTTGAGCAACTGAGTGTTAATGCCAAATCTTCTTGCTAAGGTATCTTCTGATTATGACTGCTTGTGAAAAGAGTCACTTAAAAGAAGCAAGATGTATGAAAATGTTGTTATCTCAATGCATTTAACAGAGTAAAATATTACTAGCATGCTGTAAAAAGTTTTTATTAACCGGTAAACTGGTTTTCCACATAACCGGTTCAGTTCCGGTTCAAGAAAATTCCTGAATTGGAAATCCGGTTTGGTTCAAAAATAGGGTAAACTGGACCGGTTGACCGGTTATGAACACCCCTAGCGAATATCGTTGGATTGAAAAATACTGAGTCATAAATAATCAAAACTTTGTTGTTTTCCTTATGGTGTGTATATAATCAGTGTTACCATAATGCAACTTTGGTCTGGTCAAATCAAGTTTTTTTAACTTTCCTTCTTAGGTAGGCTACACAGGTTTAGTCTAAGGGATCTTGTCTTAGGGTTCTGGGTAGGAAATTTAAGCCTCTTCATGTCTTCAACTTGCTGGTTTTTGCAACTATTCAATATTCTCCCCACCCACCTTTTGACATCTATTTTGTTTTTGGTCTAATTTACTGTTGTGCGAGAGTTTTTCACAAGCTCGGAATTAATGATAGCTCAGGGAAAATGAAGATTGGTGCAGTGAGCTAAGCTCATAGGAGCGAGCTGAATGGACAGTTGTCTCACGGATTACTAATAAGCCTTATCTCCTAATACCAAGGAAAGGATTTCGAAACCTTATCGCCTAATCCCAGATTTGATATGATCATGTCAATCATGGGATTAACTTTCTATGTTTGAACTGTGATCCCTATAATCACTCACTCACTGATATCAAATTCTTATATAAATAACCCCAAAAAACTCAAAAACGGGGTAGCAATTCTATAGAGAGAGAGAGATTATTGATAGTTCGCTGAACCACTTTAAAAACTGTTTGTGTATTTTTCTTTAATCATCCTTGCTAATTTTAACTAATTACGCACACATCAAATTCGATGCCACGAAGATCAATTGGGTTTCGTTAGTTGTTGCGTATTTTCGTAAGTTTACATAAATGGATTTCAAACTCAAAGAGATGAAAAAAAAAAAAAAAAAAAAAAAAAAGAAGAGATGTTTTCTAGATTAGTGTGTAAATATTCAAAAGTAATTAAAAAGCTTTCCAACAGTCAAAAAGTTTTTTTTTTGAGATATTATAAATTTATACAGAGGTTGGTAACCACCAAAACTGATTTTACCGAAAGGTTGCTTCCTCTAGAATCTCCTTTTATATGAAAAGGATCAAACTTAAGTTACTTGGCAAAGGAAAGATATTGATTCCATACAATAAAATATTCACCTCAAATGAAGTCTGGACTGGACAAGCATTAAAGAAATTTTATAGACTATCATCAGAAAAAAAGCAAGAGTTTAATAGGAGACCCGTACGCTTGGTTTCTTTTATAATCCCTTTGCTGCTACATATATAATCTTTTATGTACAATCCTGCGTAGACATTTACTTTGTTCACACATAAGAACTCGATTGTCCCACCACAAAATGCATCTAATCATACCAGTTAATCATTCATTTGTAGCATTGCAGAGGAGAATCTTGATATTTTTAGTCACAAAGCAAGCTAAGGTTAGCATTTTCAAAAGAAAGAAAAGGAGTTCTGTTCTGTCCATTATATATATATATATATATATATATATATATAATTTAAGCAAAGAAATATGAAAGATTTTATTGCAGTCATGAGGTGTGTCTGACCCATTTGGGGGGAGTGAATTATGAAAGAGTTATGTGCACTGTGAACTCTTACCAACTTATATTATTCTGGTCACATCACTGTTTCCTTATTGCAGTGTTCCCTGTGGGAAATCTAGAAGTCACTGCTAGTAATGCAGTAAAATTTACTGAAGTTCTTTTTTTTTTTTTTTTTTTAATCTAAGGTGTTCAGGTGAGTTCATACGGACTTCAACTAATTTTTCGAAACCTGAAGTTAACAGTCAAGTAAACCGACAATGGCTACCCTTTATTAATAGTTATGGGGATTCGAACTTTTTGAGTAACATACCCAAACGTTTTAAGCGAATTGTCAAACTACTCAAAGGAGTTAACAAAGTTACTAAATGTTAAAATCTCTAATTATTTTGGTTTGATTACAGAAAGCTTTTCAAAGTGAAGTGCTAGATCATAGATAATCATAACCCTCTTGACTGCCTCTTCACATTATAAGCTTCCTGCTTTACCCTTCCCTTTTTCTATATATGTGTCAAGCTCTTCACATTTTGGCCCATCTTCCACCAACTGCTCTCTCTCTCTCTCTCTTTGCCTCTTCTTCAAATCTCTCTCAGTTACCAGCTGTTATATATAGAAAATGTCGACTAGAGGGAGTAACAAAGTTAGTAGCAGACCAGCTGTTAACAAGGATATTATAACCCAGAAACAAAAATCTACCAGTAGAGTTGTTGAGAACAAGAGGCAGTCTACCGGCTGTTGTGCAACAAGAGGGAGTAACCGAGAAAGCTGTTATTGCATACCAGGTATTAGCATGGAAACTTTAATTTGGAAACGAAACTATGTTAGTAAAGTTGCTGGCTGTTGTGCAACAAGAGGGAGTAACCGAGAAAGCTGTTATTGCATACCAGGTATTAGCAAGGAAACTTTAATTTGCAAACGAAACTATGTTAGTAAAGTTGCTGGGAACAAGAGGTGTGCTTCTGGGAGCTGTGGAATCAAGCTACCGAAAAGATCAGACCTTTCCCCGGTTCGATTTCTCGAGCATCTTAGCAGTAAGATAGCCAAAGGTCTATGCTTTTCATCTTTGAGGAAGAAACATTCACCTACTGCAGTTTCTTCATCAGGAAGATCAAAGCAGTCTGTGATTCCTGTTGATTCTCATAGAACTGAAGCCATTGAGGATTGCATCGAGTTCATCAACTCCTCTTCTTCTTTGCCACGATCAATCTCTGTTTCTGCAAACACTTCTTAAATTTTTATTGTAGCATCGCAATATTTACCTGAAAAATCTTCTTCTGAGGCGCAACTTAACCTTGCTGTATATTTTTGCTTTAGTGATCACTATTTCTTAGAATTGTTTGTTTCTTCCTTAAACTTATCAGAATGTGAAAGCTATAAACCAGAATAAAAATGGAACAACATCGTTTCTTCGCTGCTTGCAATCTCAAACTCTTCAACCTTGATAACTTCCATGCAAATGATAAATTTTCCAAGTTGCATAGCTTATTTAGATGATCATTTTGTTTGTGGAACATAAAGGTCTTAGCTTTTTATAATTTTCCTTTTCAATTTTGTGCTGAGTTGAGCATGAGTTGCCTAATGCCTCGCCACCTTCTAGGCAAGGCCAACACTCTTGTCCTGAGTTAATTAGTCATTTGTCACCCTCATATCACCCTTGTCTGGAATTGGACATGACTGTGCAATTTGGACCCGTGAATCTGTTTGGACTAATTTGGACATTAAATTTAAATCCTTTTTCTCTCTTTATTTCTTGTTAAGTGAACTAGCGTGCCTTTTATATAGGAATATTATGAGCAATATTCTAAAAAGAAGTCCATAGACAATAGTCTATTGATAATGATTCTGTACTCTAAGTGGTGGCTGCTGTTACATTCTCTATTCGGTCAATAGCTTTTTACTGTTATTCTTCAATAAATTGGGTAATCAGGTAACTAAACTACAATGGGTTTGGTCTAATCAACTTTTCAGTAAATCACTTTAACCTATTGGATTTGGCTCCTTTTAATCACATATTGAGAGAAATAGACTTTTTTTTTTTATGCAGTAGACAGTTTTTATAATACTGTCATCTTGAATCTTGGATTGATTGATAGATAAATCTTTCTGTTTATAGGGAAGAGAAAAGTTTTACTCCTTTTGATGACAACATGAACTGTCCATTTGTTCTCAGGGATAAGTTAACAATGTTTACATTTTGCAGTCACAAGCTTAAGGCTTCTGTGGTTAAAATTAAAGAACCAAATGATATGTACCGTAAACTGTAGATGATTTGAAATGAATTCATGATATGTTGACATATATGAATGAGATCAGGAAATATGCATCTTAAAGTTCAAGAATTACTCAAGGGAAATTAACATACAGGACATGATCAATGGTAGAAACAGATTGAGAGCGATAATTAAGGTTCATTTCTTAGCAAAGAGACCTCCAAATCCAGTTTTCTTCTTCTGTGGAACAGCAACTGAGTTCTTGGAGCGCCCACCATTCTTGTCTTCAACTTTTGCCAGAATTGGATCAGTCTCATAAAACTGTTCTTCCTTCTGCAGGTTCCCAAGAATCCAATCAAGAAGACCCTTCTCTTCTTTCCCACCACCACCTTCTTTAGCGGCTGTTGCTGCATGAACTCTCACAGTAGCTGGAGCAAAGCTAAAGGGAAGAGAAGCCATTTCTTTCTTTTATCTACAAAAACACAATAAAGTGGGATATGGTATGGTTGTGGTAATATATTTTGTTGGGGGTGGTATGATGGTGAATAACAGGAAGTGGAAGTGTTTGCAGCACAAGCTCTCCACAAGTGTCTTATCTTCTACATTCTTGGCTTTTATTTTTGGTTGTGTTTTGATTTTTAGAGAAAAAGAAAATGAGGGGTTAAAGATCATCCTCAGTGGATATGGATATGGGGTTGCCACGTGACCTGAAGATCATCCATGCACTTTAATGGCAACTTGGTTGCTCTTGTAGCTTACATTTCTCTCTTGTAAAACTGTGCTTTTTACTCTTCTGGTTAAGTCTCCAACTGTTGAACTAATTTAACTAATGGCTAGATTAAAGAATCATAAGAAAGAACTTTATGAGAAACCCTTATCACATAGAACCTTCCTGGGAATAAATTGCTTTTGTATTATGGTTTCAGTATAACATCCTCTATCCACCTTCTCTGGTAACTTTCGGATTTGTTTCTAATTCATCTTAAATTGTGAGACTCAGAGCATGTCCCCTATTAGAGGTAGACAACAAGAACATGTGATGATCTTTAACTTTCCAAGTACGAGTAAACGACTTTATCCCACCCAGAGAGTTTTAAAGTTCCACTTTATTATCCAAATTTATATTTTATTTATGATTTTGGCATCGTTTCTGTTCCTCAATCATCACTCACTAAAACCTTTCAAACTCTACTCCCACCGACCCTGTCAATCCCTAGCAATTGAATGATTAGGGTTTGTGTAATCACCCCTCCCAAGTCAAATTCCGATCAATTCTCATCATCAAAAGACTCATCGGCCTCCCCTCTTCAAAAGCTCTAATAATATAGACCAAGTTTGCTCTCTGTTTACAATTAGAATATAAATTTTAATAGTAAAGTGATATTTTAAATATAGATAAGAAAATATCATTAAACCATTATTCGGATTGAAATAAAACTCTTCCCAGCACTCTAAAGATAGTGGGCAAGGGATGTTATATAAGTGTCATAGATCATGATCAACCCGTGACCAATATCGGAGGGTACTCGGGAGGGGGATTTTGATGGGTATTGTTGGGCTATGTTAAAGTCCACTTATGAAGAATCAAATGAGTTGGGCCTCAGCCCTTGAATCCCAGCAGTGACAAACACAGGAAGCCTGTTTTTGATTTGGGTGTTCATGTTAGTGTCTTGAAGAAGTAACTCAATTTTTGAGTCTCATGCGAGGTTAGAATAAATGCTATGGTAGTAATATATATATATATATATATATATATATATATAAAGCTGAATACCCATACATGGTTGTTCTACATTAGTTAAAAGACAGATAGTAGATGAAATCCAATATAGACTTGGGAAACCATGGACAAAATGGTTCATCTTATGGTCAACAATAACCAGAATGAATGACCAGATGCAGGCTATTATTTCTTGGACATTGATTTTAGGCTCTCTGTAAAGTTCAAGTCTTAACTAAAATTTTTATGATCAGTCTCAGTCTCTATAATGATAGGATTAAACAGAATTGGACTTTTACCACACGGATAATAGTAAAGAAATCAATAGCCATCTTCTAAAATCTGATGGTATTTGACTGAGATTTGAATTACGTAAAATACAGCAAATGGCCAAAACTGGCCATGAACAACAAGATTGGACATTGACAGCTATAGAAATTAATCAGAGTTTGGTGAGAGTTCCCCTACGAAAAGGGGGAAAGAGTAAGGTTTCTATATTTTCTTTCTCCTGAAGTTTCCTCATGTGAGAAACTACTACTCACTCAACAGAGTCAAGTTTGCTTATTATTTGTTTTTCCTTGTTCAGATTGTTTGTGTTTTTTTCAAGGTTTTGGAACAAACCCTTTTTTCCCATTGTGGTTAAACTGTCTCTAACTACTCTCTTTCACCCAAGAAAAAGAGTAGGTAAAAGCTTTACACTATCTCCCCTTCGAAGAACTTAAGCTGAAGCAATCGCATTTTGGTATTTCTTTTAGCCATTAAAGCACTTGTGCTCCACTACTAATTATTGGTAGGAATTTTCTTATATCAAATACATAATATCAAACACACAAGATTCTACCGGCAAAATTATTATAATACATAAAGCGAAATTAACTCATCACCATGGCTTCCCATATGCATAAGCAAGGCATAGTGTATATACTATAGTTTTTTAATCTCACTTTAAGTTCTTCAGTTAGTAATAATAAGAGTAAATCACTATTCCCCACCCAAATAATGGCTTAATGTCACTTTCCCATCCACGGACTTTTAAAATATCATTTTACTACTCAAATTTATATTGTGTTTTCGATTCATACATCATTGTGATCTCATATCATCACCATTCTCTTCCTCAATCATCTCTTATCAAAACGCCTCAATCCCTATTCCTGTCGACCCCATCAATCACTGGTAATCGAGCGATTAGGGTTTGCGCAACCGTCCCTCTAGAGTCAAATTTTGATCAATCCCAACCACTAAAATCCAATCTTTCACTACCAAAAGACTCATTAGTCTTCCCTCTTCAAAAACCCTAATAGTTTGGATGGAGTTTGTTATATGTTCACTACTGAAATATAAATTTGGATAGTAGAGCGGTTTTTTAAAATTCTATGAGTAAAAAAGTGTTATTAAACCATTATTTGGGTGGGAAAAAGTCGTTTAACTCTTAATTATAATGACAAGAGGACCAGACAGAGGGGAGACCTTCTAGAATCTCTGTCGAGTTTTCTATAGGCATGCATGGCTACTATTGTCCAGGATATTAAAATGTCCTCCATTAAAATATTTCAAGTTTCTCTGAAACCATATGCATTTGAAATTAATTAAATTAACCACCCTTGAATTATTGAATCCTGCCTCAAATATGGCTCATTGTAACAGGACAACGTATAGATCTATTAAGATTAGGTTAATTAATATTAATCAAAGGAAGATATGATAATTAAAGTGACACGTCTCATCTTCTAATGACGTCTAAAATGAATAGATATTTTACAACTACTCATTGGGGATTTACATTACTCAAAAAATGTTGCAGGGTTTTCGTGTATATTATTTCCTATCAAAATCAACCCAATAGCAACCCACTTCACAAAATTCCCAACAACTATCTCCTACAAACTTTCTCGTAATGTCCACTATATATATATCGCCATTCTTGTCATCTCTCTCATTCAATACTCAGTTCGAGCTTTGGTTGATTATCAGCTCAAACAAAATTAATATTTCTCTCCCGTTTCACCAACTCTCATGGAAACCCTACATCTCCTTTTGAGCTTAGCGGCTCTGGTTTCAGCTTACGCTTGCTGGTTCTATCTCCTATCTCGTAAACTTTCAGGCCCGAAATTATATCCTCTTGTGGGTAGCCTTCCGGTCCTGTTCAAGAACCGGCGGCGAATACATGATTGGATTGCTGGTAATCTTCGAGCTACAGGTGGTTCAGCTACTTACCAAACTTGTACTATTGCTCTTCCTTACTTTGCTAGTAAACAAGGGTTTTATACAGTCACGTGTCACCCTAAAAACATTGAACATATTCTTCGGACAAGGTTCGATAACTACCCCAAAGGTCCCACGTGGCAGAAAGCTTTTCATGATTTGTTAGGGCAAGGGATTTTCAACAGTGATGGTGAAACATGGCTTATTCAACGCAAAACTGCTGCTCTTGAGTTCACAACAAGAACGTTAAGGCAAGCCATGGCTCGGTGGGTGAATCGGACGATTAAGAATCGTTTGTGGAAGATTTTAGATCAAGCGGCGGAGAATAATCTCTCGGTGGACTTGCAAGATTTGTTGCTTCGTTTAACGTTTGATAATATTTGTGGTCTCACGTTTGGTAAAGACCCCGAGACTCTCTCGCCGGAGTTACCTGAAAATCCATTTTCTATAGCTTTTGATACAGCCACTGAAGCCACTCTTCAACGGCTTTTGTACCCTGGATTTCTATGGAGATTGGAGAAAATGTTTGGTTTCGGAGCTGAAAAAAGATTGAAAAAGAGCCTTCAAGTTGTTGAAGATTACATGAACGGTGCTATAGAAGCCCGTAAAGAGAGTCCATCCGATGATTTATTGTCAAGATTCATGAAGAAAAGAGACGTTGATGGTAACCTCTTCCCAAGCTCGGTTCTTCAACGCATAGCTCTAAACTTCGTTCTCGCCGGCCGTGACACGTCATCAGTTGCACTCAGCTGGTTCTTCTGGCTCGTCATGAACCACCCCCACGTTGAACAGAAGATCATCGACGAAATATCAAAGGTTCTTAAGGAAACACGTGGCAATGACATCAAGAAATGGCTGGACGAGCCTCTAGTCTTTGATGAAGCTGATAAATTAATGTATCTCAAAGCAGCATTAGCCGAAACGCTGCGTTTATACCCATCAGTTCCGGAGGATTTCAAGTACGTAGTCTCTGACGACGTCTTGCCAGATGGCACGCGCGTCCCAGCCGGTTCAACGGTGACGTATTCGATATACTCAATGGGGAGAATGAAGACGATATGGGGAGACGATTGCACGGAGTTTAGACCGGAACGGTGGCTATCGGCTGAAGGGGACCGGTTCGAACCGCCAAAAGACGGGTACAAATTTGTGGCGTTTAATGCGGGACCGAGAACTTGTTTGGGGAAGGACTTGGCTTACTTGCAAATGAAATCAGCAGCTTCGGCGGTGCTGTTGCGCTACCGGCTGTCCCTGGCTCCCGGCCACCGTGTGGAGCAAAAGATGTCTCTCACTTTGTTCATGAAGAATGGACTTCGTGTACACTTGCATCCTCGTGCACTTGTTGCTGAATAGAAGGTGGCCGCCGGGGAAAGGGGAAGTGTTTTCACTTGTTTGCCGAAAAGGAACAGGGACAGTATGGTCATTCAAATTGTTTTAATTTTGTATTGTATTTTGAATATGTAATATTTGTTTGTTATTGTGTCGTTGAATTTGAGTACAATATACAGTTGGTTTGCTGGTCTAAATTGGAGGGGTATATTTGGAAAGAGTCTGATAGTGTGTCTTTGTAATGTTGATAAACACTTTCATATCAGTTGATATGGGTTTTCAATTATATGCTTCTTCTTTAAATCATATACTTTTATGAATAAAACACAATTAAGTTATACTCTTATTTACTTAAATTTTGTGTGTATTCCTAAATTTTTCTCCATCCACG